GATCTCCCCAACGAATTATCTCAGACAGGGGTGTTCAATAAAAGGTTCCTTTTGACCTGCTAATTTTTCAAGAGTCTACTTTCTTGAAGGGGGGGAGAGGCTGGTCCTTACAACTGGACTCAAATTGTTTTAAAGGGGGATTACAATACTTAGTTCAGTGGAAAGGATACCTCTCAACTGATGCTGAGTGGGTTGCTGCCCATAATGTTAGTGCTGCCCATAATGTTAGAACTAGTCAGAAGGTTCCGTGTTAAATAACCACAATGTCCAAAGGGACAATTGAGAGCTAAAGATTCCTGAGTAAAAATGTTAATCTGTGTTTGATATTTTTCTAGGTCTAACCTTCCTCCAGGGGGTCGGTATGCCAAAATTGAATTGCTTTACTTCCTCTGAGTTTATATTGCTATTCAACTTGTCATTCAAGCGGGAAGATGGAGGGGTGGAATGGAATGCTAAGATTTTATCTATGGACTGTGAGAGCCTGAACCCCATCAAGGTCATTACAGCAGGTGTTAGACAGAGAAATGAATTGTTCCCGTAACAAAAGGAAGTTTTATAAACGGACAATGTGAACACCTAGGGGTGGGGGAAAAGGGAATCTATTGTTTAACTAAGCCAGGGGTCCTCAAACTTTTTGAACAAGGGGCCACTTCAGGGTCCCTCAGACTGCTGGGGGGGGGCGGACCGGCTAGGTGGGTGTGGTTGGGCCCCCCATGTGACTGGGTGGGCGTGGCTAGGTAGTCATGTGACTGGGTGGCCATGGCTGGGTGGGCGTGCCCAATTTAGCAGTCCATTTTGCCAATTTAGCAGTGCATTAAATAATACACACAAATGAAACTTTAATTTGTTTTCCTCCTGGGAATGTTTTATTTGCTTTTGTTTAACTTTTCTTTTTACTAGATCATTTTTTAAGTTGTTTACAAGTCTAGTGGTCCACTTCAGAAAACTCAGTTTTGCAGCAATTCTTCTCAGCTCCAAGGAGGTTACAATCAACATTCATCCATCTTTCTCCCTCTCCCTCTCCCTCCCTCTCTCCTAGAAGAGCAAATGGGGGTGGGGAAGACAAACCTTGCTGAATCCCATTCCATTCCATTCACTCTCTCCCTCCCATCTCTCTATCAAGAAAGAAACGTCTCCTACAAGAGCAAATGGGGGTGGGGAAGAGAAACCTTGTTCCATTCCATTCAGTGGTGGGATTCAATTTTTTTAACAACCGGTTCTGTGGGCATGGCTTAGTTGGGGGTGTGGCTTGGTGGTCATGTGACCGGGTGGGCATGGCTATGTGCATAGGGACTACTCAGAGGGCTGAAAAAAGTCATTTCTGACTGGCCATTGCACTTTTGACCGGTCCTCGCACTTATGACCATCCTCACATTTATGCCCGTTGCAGCATTCTTAACAACCATGTCACTCATTTCATAACTACTTCTCTTCACCATGGTGACAAGATAGGGTGCAAAACGTAAAATGTGAGGACAGTCATAAGTGCAAGGACTGGTCAAAAGTGCAAGGACTGGTCAAAAATAACTTTTTCAGCCCTCTGAGTTGTCCATATGCACATAGGGACTACCCAGAGGGCTGAAAAAAGTGATTTCTGATAGGTCTTCACACTTTTGACTGGTCATTATTTATGCCAATTGCAGCACTTAATTAAATTAATTAAATAAAAATGACCTACTGGAGCGGTCGGAGGCAGTCTGAGTGGGCGTTCGGGCAAGCTGCAGGGCAAGGTGATACAACCGGGGTAGGTAGGCCGCTGCTGCCCAGGTGGGAGGTGGGCGCAGGCCTATAGGGCTGGCTGCAGGGTGAAGCGATCGGATGGGATAGGTCAGGGGTTTGCAACTTTAAACACTCAACCTTAAACACATGTAAACACTTAAACACAACCTTAAACCTGGGTGGGCATTGCCAACTCCATATCACTTACTCCCACCCAGGTTTTGTGGCTCCAAGTATTTTCTTTTAAACAAGTATCTCTATGTGTCTCTTTCATCTCTCTCATCTCTCTCTTTCTCCCCCCATTTCCCTCCTTCATCTCTCTTTCTCTCCATCTATTTCTCCCCCCTCTTTCTCTCCTTCATCTCTCTTTCTCTCCTTCATCTCTCTTTCTCCTCTCCCGCCCGGGCAGTGGCGGTGGCAGCACACCTACCGCACCATCGGGTCACGATGGGTGGGCATGGCCAACTTTTTCTTTTTACTTTTAAAAGCATTTTTTCTACAACCTTAAGAGGTTGCAGGAAAAAAATGCTTCTAGAAGCCTCTGCCGATCAGGCAACTCAGCTGGGATTGCCAGAGACTTTTAAAGGCATTTTTTTTCCTACAACCTCTTCGGCTGAAGAGGTTGCAGGAAAAAATGCTTTTAGAAGCCTGTGACAATCAGGCGACTCAGCTGGGATCGCCAGAGGCTTTTAAAGGCATTTTTTCCCTACAACCTCTTCGGCCGAAATTCAGCCATGCTAGGAGTGGGTGGGAGTGGTGGGGCGGGGGGCAGGGCAGGGGGCGGGTCTGAATCCCACCACTGCATGGGCCAGATACATTGTGTCAGCGGGCTGTACCCAGCCCACAGGCCGTAGTTTGAGGACCCCTGAACTAAGCGGTTATTTATGCGGGAAACTCAGAACCGGTTTTGCTTCTGCAGTTCCAAGATGGTGTATCCAATAAAGTTTTATTTTTGGAAATTCTTAGCTCCTGAAAGTGTTTACTTTTTTTGCGTTCTCTAGTCAGACAGTTGACAGAAAGCACAAAGAAACTCTGAGTTTTATAGTTATACCAGGGATGGAGAGATCCCTCCTGCTTGGACTGTCTTGGCTCCAGAAATGGAAACCTTATGTGAACTGGAAAAGAGGGCTCTTAAAAATCTGGCATAAGGTCATCAAAAAAGGGGAAGAAATTCCACACCCAGAGGCAAGAAAACCAAAGAAACAAGGGAGCTAGGGGCAGTCATGCAGGAGCACCTGAAAAGTGAGCCCAGAATCCCCAAGGAGTACTGGGATCTATGGGATGTCATTCAACTGGCTAGATCATGGGTGGCAGGCCCAGTATTGCTCCGGGAGAAAAAGGATGGAACTCTGCACTAGACTATAGAGGGCTAAATGCAGTGTGCATGGAAAATGTCTATCTATTGCCCCTGATGAAAAACATGCTTGCACATCTAGCCAAAGGCAAAATCTTCACTAAATTAGATCTGTGGAAGGCTTATAACTGGGTTCAAATCAAGGAGGGCAATGAATGGAAAACTGCCATTCTGGGATGTTTTCAATTCCGAGTACTCCCCTTTGGGCCCCAGCTGCAGAGGGCCCCAGCTATGTTCATATAACTGATTAATGAGGTGTTGCATGACTACTTGTATAAGGGGGTGTTGGTGTATTTGAATGATATTTTAATATATACTGAGACTATACTTAGACTGGAAGAGCATGTGAAATTGGTGTGGATGGTCCTAAAAAGACTCTGAGCAGCCAAATTGTATGTGAAGCTTTCTAAATGTAAATTACCTGGGTTATTGTATATCTAATGAAGGAGTAGAAATGGACCCAGAAAAGGTGCTGTCAGTGTTAAATTGCCCCCTAGGAAGCAATTACAAAGTTTCCTAGGTTTTGCCAATTTCTACTGGCAATTCATCACTTCATTCACCAAAATTGCATTATCAATCACCAACCTTTTAAAAACTAAGGGCGAAGGCAAGCCGAAGCCAGAGTCAGTTACTTATGTGGACTATGGAGTGCCAAGTGGCATTCAAAAAACTCAAACAGCTGTTTGTGGCGCAGCCCATGCTAAAGCACCCTGATCCAACTTCTCCTTTTGTAATTCAGGCAGACACAAGTAATGTAGCCGTGGGGGCTGCACTATTACAAAAGAATGACCAAGGCCTGCTACAATCCTGCACGTACACGTCTAAAAGTCTTATGGAAACTCAAAGTGTGAGAGAGGACTAATTCGGTCCTGTTACAGTAGTTCGGTGCTACATCAACAAGACAATTGGACTGATCTTTTACCATTTGCAGAGGCGGCATAGAATAATTCAATGCATAGTAGCACAGAGTTTACCCCATTTAAGGTAGGCTCTGGTTAGGATTTTGTAGCTATGCCAGAGCTGCTTCAAGAGAAACCTCAAATGCCTTCCTTGGCAGACTGGATAGTGCAACTCAAAAACACTTGGCCAATAGGGGCTTGGCCCCATAGATCCTCTCCTCTCTCCTTCTCTCCCTCAGGCTGGCCCCACAAAAGACTCTCCTCTCCCCTTCTCTCCCTCAGCCTTGCCCCACAGAAACATCTCCTATTCTATCCCCTTCTCTCCCTCAGGCTTTCTAGCTCCTTCTTTCCATGAGGTTTGCCCCACAGAAGCTTGTCCTATGCTATCCCATTCTCTCCAGAGTTATTTTCAAGTTGGGAGGGGAAGTAGATCATCTAACTAATTAGCATCAGAGCGTGTTATAATAATATAGGAAATAATAATGCTCTAATGGTCATTTCAAAAAGTCCTTTCTTAGTGAGCACCTAGAAGCCAAGGGGAACATACGTTTCAAATTTCAAGTTTGTAGGCTTTATGGTCCTGGAGATATTGTGATTAATGCGTCAGTAGTTTTCGCTTGTATATATATATATATATAGAGAGAGAGAGAGATCTATCATGCACCCATACAGTTCTTTCCACAGTTGCAATCTCTCACTCACACAAGTTTCAGGGTGAATCAATGGGATGAGAGGTTTGAGAAAAGCTAATAAAAATAATCTTGCACAGGAAAATGCAATTGACTCTATTCCAGATACAAGCTATGGTAACTTCATTTGTTATGAATTAGCATTTTTACATTTATATACAAAAAATATTAACAATCATATTAAATCAGCTTCTGCAACCTGCTTCTAGTCAGATGTGTCAGATAAATGCAGCAACCCTAACTGGAAATTACAGGAACTGTAATCTCGTAAAAGCCTCTGAATAGAAGCAGGTTAGAAAAAGCTAGCTAAGATTACACCATTTGTTTCAGGTTTATTACCTTTAATACTTCCTGGTTGTGTGCTTGTCTTTCTGCTTCAGTAAATCGATCAACATGCCACTTCAATACCTTTATGAGATCTCTAAAATATAAAACAAAACTTAGTTCTACATTGAAGTCTTAATTCATTGTTAAGTAGACTAATAACCTGCATGAATAATAATTCATAATTTAATCAGTACATATATCTACTGAAAATTAAGCCTCAATAAACTATTCCTAGGGAAGTAAGCAATTCTGCAGAACAATTCCAATAAAATGTAATTGAAAACAAAACTATTCAGTGGATAATCTCCTATATTTAAATTGCTGAATTATGAATGTAGAGAATAGTACATTATTATTGGTATACATATTAACAAATATAATATAGTTTGATTGCTTTTAAGATAGTAATATACCTTGCTTTCTAGGTGGGAAGGAAAGTTCATTAGCCAACTTCATTGTAGTATGTGCAAGGTCACTGAATTCTTCTAAATAATGAGACACCACCACTGAATGAAATTTTGTTTGAGTCTGGCATGATTCATAAACATTGTTTTGGCTTTCATCTCCAAATGTTAGGAACTCAAACATCCTCGATAATTTTTGCTCTCACAGTCTGAATAGGACATGATTCTCCTCACTCAGTATTTTCAGTAATATAATATAATGTAGTGCATTGCATTGCATTGCATTGCATTGCAGTGCAGTCAGTGCAATGCAATGCAATGCAATGCAATACAATACAATACAATACAATACAATACAATACAATACAATACAATACAATACAATACAATACAATACAATACAATACAATACAATACAATGCATAATTTGTCCTTGAACCGGAGGCAAATGTTAGAATAGCTATATGTACCACTCATATAAAATAATACTCTATCCTGAAGCAATGTGGGCCAATAGTCTGATTTGGTATATAATAGATATTTGTTTAATGAATATGCTCCATTAGCTATGAAACTTTGTACACATTCCTAGAGAGAACATTTCAATCAATACAATGTTGGGCTCAATAAAAAATGTTACATGAAAATAAAGGGAGAGATTCTCAAAATCCTTGAGAACAGCACATATCATTTATTCTGAAGGAGGCGAATTAAACCAAATAAAGCAGACCAAGTTAGGACTTGGAGTATATATTGTTTTGTGAGAATAATAAGTCCATGACTGCTTTCTATATGGAGAAGAAAGATATATTTCATGTCCCAGGTTAGGTATACAAGTAGTCCTTGACTTATGAACATAATGGAGACTTCCAATTGTGGTTCTAAGTTGCAACTGTTGTAAAGAAGGTCATCATGTGACTGATCCAATTTTATGATCTTTTTTGTGGCAGTCATAAAGCAGATATGGCAGTCATTAAACAAATCCATTGTTTTCTATGAGGTATTTTTGCCAAGTATACAAAATATGATCACATGAATGCAGGTTATGCATTCATAGGAACTTCATTTCTGGGTTCTAAGTACTTTGGGAAGAGATCTGTTATAAAATGATTACGAAACGGCAAACTGTAAGTCAAGCACTACATGTAACAATCGTGGCCCATTGAAATGTACCATAAGACCATAAATGGTCAGGTATCTCATTAGTGCAGCACAGCAGTTCAAGGGCAAAAATGTCCTGCATCACACATGAAATACAAATCTGGTTCCTTTCTACAACTCCTTAAAAGCAGCCACAACTTTTTCTAGCTTCAAATAGGTATTTTCCACAGTTGCTGTATGATGCCAACCTAAATCCAAGCCTCCAAATTCAAAATGTTACACTGACCTAGTAACTAAATTCTTTCCTTAATCCTTCATCATTCCTTTTGTAGTCTCAGATTTGATTGTGCTCTAATTTACTCATTCATATTCAAACCATGTGGTTTAAGGGGCTATTAATAAATCCTTTGAGAATTAGGGGGAAACTACTTAGAATCCTAAAAACATAAGCCCAGAAAGGATTTTGGAGATCTAGTCCAACCTCCTGCCCAAGGCTGAAGACCTTATATCATCCCAAACAAATGGCTGTCCAATCTTTTCTTGAAAACTTCTACTGTACTGATTCATTGTTCTGTCAGGACATTTCTCCTTAAAAGGTCTCTTTTGAACAACCACGTTTCAAGAGTTTTTACTTTCTTAGGTTAGAAGGAGAGACAATCATTACAGGATCTCTCTTTAACAAGCTTCCACCCATTGCTTTTTGATGTGCCCTCAGGTGCTTTGGAGAATAAATCTACCTCTCTATGAGTTTGAATTTGGTTTAATATTAAGCATTTTCCCAACTCAGAAAACAGTTAAAGACACATACAGTATGAACTTAGGTTTATATAAAAGCAAAAGAATTATATGTCAGATGATTGATTTAGTATCGATAACCAAATGTAAAAGCTCAGATAAATTTTTACAACAAAGTATAATTAGTTTAATATATCAGTTTATTACACTTTGGTTTTAACCATGGAGACTGCAACACATTTGAACTAAAGATGCTGTCAACTGCCAATCATCTGATTGCATCTATATTCAAAGCATTGAAACCTTTCTACCTGTAAGCAAGAGCTCCTGCAAAATGACTTTGAATGTAGGTATCCATAACTGGCCTAAAATGATGAAACTTGTTGTCCTGCAGCAAATTAATTATGTGAACCTAAGGGAAAAAATGTATATTAGTTTATTTTAGCCAATTTCAAAAATCAAAACAAATACAATGAATAATAAAATATGCCTTACCAAACAGTCAAATACTTGAGAGCCATACTTTTGAGAATTTTCATCTAAAATCCCAAATAAAGTGTCTAGCGTATCTTGAAGAAACTAAGTGAAGGAAGACAAATTTAAGAATTATATCCTTTGGAAATGTTATTCTTATATTTTATCTCAGTGAGAAAAATAAACAGTGCCAATTGTATTCACCTTCACTATTTCAGAACCATCAATTTCTTTCAGTTTTGAGAGGCAACCTGCAATTTTTTCTGGGTGAGCTCGCCATTTAAGAAGGTCAAGCATATCTCCTGCAAAATAAAGTTTAGCAAAAATACAATTGTAAGCAAACAATTTATTATACATACATTAATTTTAGAAATAGCCAAAAGGAAAAGGTTATACTGTATATCTCCCCTAAATGAAGCCCATGTTTTAAGCTGCATATCTGTATATGCTATTAAAAAAATTGTGACACATGAAATATAACATTCATTTTATTCACTCACAAGTAATCCCCTAAAAATTAATGCATTTTACTTCTGCGTAGAGAAATAGAATTGCACTGTTCAACATGAAACTACATTTTTGCTCCATTTATTTAAATCTGTGTCATGCATTATATTCAATGCCAAAAATTTTAATAATATTCCTCAGAAGTCCTCATATTTCTCACAATATTTTATCATTTTGGGCAATAAACACAGTAAGGGCATTTTTTTTTAATCTGAAAGCATTGAATGGTAATTAAAAAAAACAATCTATAGATGTGCTACTTAAAAAATATTGTCACATTAAAACTGCTGCATTTTTAGTCTGCTTACAAACAGGTCAACAGATAATTTATTCATGTATTGAGCTAATCAATAGTCTATTAAATATGTTTAGCATCAATATTACTAATATTGAATTATAAAATATATTTGTAATACTGTATTATGCCTGAGAATAAGCTTATCCATGAATAAGACAACCCTCAAATTTTTAACCAAAATATGAAAATTGTGCAACCTATGGATAAGCTGACTCAGTTCATGTATCTTTGTTTAAAATGTGATGGTCTGCTTCACCACAAATGGGTGAAGCAGACCATCACATATATATTTCTAATTCCCATACATAAGTATGTCTGGGAATTAGAAATAGTAAAACAGTGTTGCTGTTTATACCATGGACAAGGGCATTTGTGGATAAGTGGAACCTGATTTGGGGCTTTTGGCACTTAAAATTCTTGGTTTATCAACAACTATATACAATATACTTATCTTAATAAGCTCATCTATTATACTGTATTATGCAGTATACTTTACCATTTTGTGTGAGTTTAGTTGAACACAGAAAAGATGTAATCCAGAAAGTTTCCTTAGTAGATTTTATTGCTTGGTGGTTGTTTGCAAGAAGATGCCCTTTTGAAAAGGGAAATTTGAGGTAGCGACTAGAATCCTGAAGATTTGTATTTTCTTCACACTGAGAGAACAATTAAAATTGCATTTTAACTCACTATGCCTAATAAAAAAAAATGCAGCATAGAACTGTCAAATCTAAAGCCATTAGAAAAAACATTTGTACTGCTAATCAACTGTATTTTCTAACATTTTCTTCCTATGTACTTTCTAGGTATATCCATGGTTTGCTATGCTTTCAGGATACTTATGTACTGATAATATTTTATATCTATATCCACTTCCTATGCTCTAAAATTTCCACATCCCTCATGTCCCAAGTTTGATATGTTCAAAACTGATATTCACCTTTTTCCTCATGTGTGAGAGAGCTAAATTCATCTATACCCATGTATACATGTGTAATATAAAGAATCAGCAACATAAATTGGAAAGGGTATGATGATAGGACATGTTTCACAATGACAAATCTAGCATTCTTCTGACAGTTGAATCAATCTAGGATTTTTTTACTGAATAAGCTATGTTTTTTCTGGCTTCTTTTTGAAAATACCTTGTGCACAATGAGCTCATGAATTCCGTCTGGCAGGGTCCTTCCATTTTCCTGCATCAGAGGGACGAAAGAAAAACCAAACATCTTCTTCTCTCCCTTCTCTTTTGCTGAAACACACACACACATTAAAAATACACCATATTCTAAGCTGGAATGAAAGTTCATAAATGAAAATAAAATAAAATTGCACATATATTTGCAACTAAACTCAAGAGTGCCATGTAATCAATTGAATGTATAGATATATTAATCACACAAGGCAATTAAGAGATGATTCATTTGATTTCCATCGACTTCAATTAAATTCAGGACTTCTACCATCAGCATGAGAACCAGATTGGTGTAGCCAGTTGGAGGACCTTAGGCCAGCCACTTTCTATCTCATCCCTATCAAGAAAAAGGTGAGGGCAAACCAATTTTAAAAATCTTGCTACAAAAATTGCATGCATTTGTCAAAGCTGGAAGGATATATATCCGGATCACACAATTATACTTATAATTTAATGAATAGCAATAGCACTTAAACTTGTATAACACTTCACAGTGCCTTATAGCCCTCTCTAAGTGTCCTCATTTTACCAACCTTGGAAAGATGGAAGACTGAGTCAACCTTGAGCCGGTGAGAATCGAAATGCTAAACTGCAGGCAGCCAGCAGTCAACAAAATTAGCCTGCAATACTGCATTCTTCAAGATAACTTCAGAATAACTTATTTTTATTTTAGAATATCATATTTTTCAGAGTATAAGAGGCACATTAGTTTTTGGGGAGGAAAACAAGAAAAAAAATTCTGCCTCTGCCTACCAGCATCAATCAGTATTCATCTGGATAGGGTCCTTGCAGCAAACAGCCTGGTCAGCTTCAGCACATTATCGCAGCCTGATTCAGTATGAGCAGCTAATTGGCAGTTGGATTGGCATCCCGGAATACCACCAATCAGCTGTTCCAGGCTGTGGGGATCGCTACAGTCCATTGCTGCCTCCATGCGTCATGTTTTTGGCCTCTGTGCGTCACATTTTTTGTTAGAAAAGTTTTTAGTTTAGGTTGTAGAGGTCAATAAGACCTTGGAATGTCCCAGCAGCTACAATTAAGCCAGATTTCAAAATTTTATCAATTTGGATTGCCACATCTTCTGGTCTTCCTTTAATTATCTCCGCAATAGCATCAGCACAAATGTCTTTTAAATTTTCTTTGCTATTTTCCTTCAGGCTTCTCAATCTCAGAGCAAACTCCATGGATCTGTATTGTAACATTACCAATTCATCATCCACTTTCTCTGTTCTAGTCATGAGATCACCCATTTTGCTTTCCAAATTTAAGTTGGCTTCATTAATTCCTTCAACTTTCCCATCAAGCTGGATAACAAGATTTGAGAGTCCTGATACAGCAAAAACAATATCATCTCTTATTTTATCGTGTTCCTTTGCGACTGCTCCCTTGATCGAGCTTATGTCCTCCTCAATTTTCTTAAATTTCCCTTCAACAAGTAGTGTTAAATTGTTCATTGCTTCTCTCATTGCTGTTGCTTGATTATTCATGGCTTCTTTCATAGCTTCCTTAAAATCATTAAGTGCTGCATCTTGACTCTGGGTCTGGCTCTGTGAATCAGCTGAAAGTTGTGCTTTCCGTGTCACCACTGACACAACTGGAGAACCTCCCCCTCCTTTAACAGCTCCTGGTTTCACTTCTCTAGAAGCCACTTTTTTTCCTCCCCCCCCTTTTCTTTAAAAGCAACGAAGTCTTTAAAGATGTTAATTTATAGTCTCTAATTTGCCAGACAGAGTAGTTTTTTTTTTATTCTCTTCCCTCCACAAACTCTCAGTTCCCAGCAGTTAATAGGCAGCTAATCCACTCTCCCAGTGCAAAGTTCTCAAGCACTTTCGTTTCTGGTTTTCACTTTCAAAACCATAACAAAGACGCCATCTTCCGCCTCCAGCTTAAGATTCAAATTGAAACAAAGTAACTTCGGAGTTAAGCTCTGTACTTTTAAGGCTTGTTCTCCTGTTTTCCGCTCTGCCTGCGCTTGAAATCAATCAAACTCACTTTTGAAAGCAGGATCGGATCGCGGCTTCTCGCTCTACTTTTGCAGAGTCGTCCTGGCTCCGGAGCTTCTTGGCGGGCTGGCTGAGGAGCTCTCACCCTCCAAGCCTCTGGAAATGATCCAAAGGACTTTTGGGGGGCTCTACTCTCGCCCACCGGCTCTCCTCTCCTTCTTTTCCCGAAGGAGAGTTTTTCAGCCGCTAGACAGCCGATTTGCGCTGTCAAAGCGGCTTTTACGGAGACACAGGGCTGGCGGCCATAAATGACCGTCCACGGAGCCTGCGATGCCAACCGGAAGTCTGTTTTGCAGTTTTCTTGATGCTGGCTAGCCATCTGAATCCTCCAGGCTCTGGTTAATACCGGGGATTCACGGGTCCAAGTAATTTTCTTTTTAGTGACCCCTTTTATTTTAGATGACATATGTGAGCTTGCTAAAGATCATTAGACCACAACCATCCTCTTGCTATCAATTCGTTAGAAAAGTTTTTAGTTTATGTTGTAGAGGTCAATAAGATCTTGGAATGTCCCAGCAACTACAATTAAGCCAGATTTCTTTTATCAAGAAAAACTTTGTTTATTTAAAATCAATAAACTATTTACATTTTAAATCACAGAACATTGTATCTTGGTCTTTATTTATTTCTGAGGTAAATGTGCCTAGAGCATAATCCCTTCCTCTCTCTTTTCTCCTGTGTGTCTCCCCTGTGTCTCCCCTGTGGGGAGGTCATATTTATAGGGTGGCTAAGCCACTCCCCCTTCAGTCCCTTAGACAAAATGGAGGGAAAGTATAAACACAAAATCATCCTTCCAGTATAGACAGTGTGGTTCAGTGGCACTGTTTCAGATAATTATCTGACATTTTTGGCCTCTGCACATTGCGTGTTCAGCCTCCACATGCTTTGTTTTAGACGCGTTCCAGGCTGCCGGGATTGCCCAGCACATCACCTGTGGAACCAGCTGAAAATGCGATGCACGGAGGCAGCAATGTGCTGTGGCGATCCCTGCATCCTGGAATGGGTCTAAAATAGAGCATGTGGAGTCCGAAAACATGATATGTGGAGGCCGAAAATGGCCAGCGGGTGGGGGCTAGTGGGTGGGTGGGGCTTCGACAACATTTGGTGAATAAGACGCAGACATTTCCACCCACTTTTGGGGGGGAGTGCACCTTATACTCCAAAAAATACGGTACATAGGAAAAGCACACTGCTATTAAATTAAATATGTTAATATTTATATCCACAATTTTTTCATTAAAAAATACATTAAAATTACAATGGCCAAAGAGAAATTACTTGAAATTTAGATATTGGATTCACTAAAATAATTAAATGATCCAAGAGGTTTAGGGGATTCTATGCAAACTCTTGTGACTTTAGGAAATAAAAGAGATTGAAAAGGAAAAGAAAGGTCAATCTCCAACTAAAATCAAAAGGAATTTTTTTGAAGAAAATAAGCCTTTATCATCTAACAACTCATTCTGCATCATCCTTTTGGCAACATTTTTCTCTGTTCTGAATTAAACTGGCAAGAGATTCTAATCCCATATCAGCTACTCTTCCATTTCTCTTTCAATCTACAACCAGCTGTAAGTGTGAACTGGTTGCCAAGCATCCTTCATGTGATTGCCAGGAGAGACGCATCATTTTACAACAGATAGAAGCACTATTTCCCAGGCCATTTTACCTTCCAACAGTCATTAAATAACCAGTCGTTGTTGGATCATTGGTGTTTAAAAGCATAATTAATCTTCAGTTACAGGCAACCATACATTTATTTTTGCGGAATATTCTAATGCAAAACTGCTGTTTTAGTGCATACGGGTTTTTTTTTTTTCATTGTGATGCCCATATGACAGCCTTTCCTCAACCAGCAGGTATGAAGAACATTTGTTTAAAAAATGTAGATTGTAATTTAAAATCACTACTACTTCTGAATAGGTCTTACTGGAACAGTGGCGGAATTCAAACCGAAGGTGTGCTCCCCTGAATTTATCCACTGGAATAGGTAGTTTCAGCAGCTCAGCCCACCTGGGACTGTTGTTATGATACAACACAAGAGAATGGAATTCAGAGGCTGGTGGCTCTCCAGAGCCAAAGGAGATAAAATCCTTAAAAAGAAAGCATTTAAAAAAAAACCCAAATTACTTCACTTGTATAACCAATGGTCAGTATCCTGAAAGATCTACAGTAAACAGAACATAACATTTTGTTTTCCATGGACTTTTGAAAGGCACAAGCAGGGGCAAAGACAGAGAGTGAGGTAAATTTAATTTAAATACCAGTAAGGGCAGAAAAAATGCTTATTGTTCACTCAGTAAGAAAGCATGAAGGAAATCCTTTATCACGGTCCATGGTATTATCACATTCATCAACCTACCATGCCCAAATGTCTATGGAGATTCTCAGTCATCCAGGTCATGGCTGTCCTAAAGGTGTTTTTTCAAGAAGCAACTGGACTTTCTGGTTTTCTTTGAAGACATTTCACTTCTCATCGAAGAAGTTTCTTCCACTCTCTTCAGCTGAAGAGGCTTCTTGGATGAAAAGCAAAAGATTTTCAAAGAAAAACCAGAAAGTCCAATTGTCTCTTGAAAAAGCACCTTTGGGACTACTGTGCCAATATTTCCTTCGGGCATGGGCCTGTATTATATAATTTTCAGTGTTTCTCATTTTACATTTATTTTGCTTTAACTTATTTTGTCTGCAGCTTTAATATTAGATTTATTGCAACTTACTGCATTACTATATTTTATATGCATTTTGTATGCAAATGAATTCTGTAAAAATGTTATATCAGGTTTTCCAATTGTCATGGGGAAGCATATTCATTCATTCATTCATTCATTCATTCATTCATTCATTCATTCATTCATTCATTCAATCAATATACATAACCACCCACCTTACACATTCACTCTGATGATTCTGGGTATTTCTCTGAAATTCACTATACCACAATAAGTCTTTTTTTTCCCATTTATTCAAAATACCAATGATGCAAATTCAAGAAACCAGCAATACTTTGTGTGTGCATGAGAGAGAGTAATTTGTCTAATAGAATTGCTTTTCAACTGTGTGGAATAGTTACTTAACGGTTCATTTCAGATTTCATTTAAATGCTATTCTTCTCTTTGAAAAAATCCAGAGGTAGGGAAAACTTCTTGTGGCTGATAAAGACAAAACTGGAGGAAGTAATGTGATCATCTAAACCAGTTTTTGGTTCTTTTGGAATAGTCCTTGACTTACAACAGTTTATTAAGTGACAGTTCAAAGTTACAACAGCCCTGATAAAGTGACACAACTATTTTTCACAATTACAACCCTTGCAACACCAGTGGTGGGTTTCAAAAATTTTCGCTACTGATTCAGTGACCATGGCTAGGTGAGGGCGGCATGTGACTGAGTGGGCATGGCCAACTTGACATCACTCACACCCACACCCACTCAGTCACATGACCCCCCCCACTTAGCCACGCCCACAAGAAAAGGTAGGAAAATTTTTGGAATTTCCACCTATCTACCCCTGCCCTCCCTTCGCCAGTCGCCACCGTTTCCCCTCCTTTAGTGGCCCCGGCCCTAGCCCCGCTTCCCCCACCACCACAGCCTCTTTGTTCCTGCTGCTTATTTTCTGTGGCTCCCAGTCCGCCACCGCTGCTGGAAAGCACTGGCAAAGAGTACCAGAAAAGTACTGGAGTTCACGGAAAAAGCTGCTGCCGTTGCCGCCATGTTCTTCGCGCATGCATATCCCATTGGACTTGCAAGGCAATGTGATGTGCGTGCGTGAAGAACATGGCGGTGATGAACATGGTGGGCGGGGTGAGTGAATGGCGACTGAGGGACCGGTTCAGGGGCGTGGCCAGCTGGCCATCGCTACTGGTTCGGTGACCTTGGCCAAATTTTTGCCAACGGTTCATGCGAACCGGTGCAAACTGGCTGAATACCATCTCTGTGCAGCACCCCAATGGTCACATGAATAAAATTGAGATGCTTGGCAACTGACTCATATTTATGATGGTTGCAGTGTCTAGGGGTAATGTGATTACCTTTTGTGACCTTCTGACAAGCAAAGTCAGTTGGGAATCCAGATTCACTTAACTGTGTTACTAACTTAACAACTGTAGCAAGGGTGAAATGCTCCCGGTTCGGACCGGATCATCCGATCTGGTAGCGATGGCGGTGGGTGGTTCGGAGAACCGGTAGCAAAAATCCCTGCGCCCCCCCCCCCACACCATGCCCAGCTGAGCCGCACGATCATCAGAGGCTTTTTTTTTACTTTTGAAAGCATTTTTTCTACAACCTCTTCCGAAGAAAAAATGCTTTTAAAAGTAAAAAATGATGATCACATGGCTGATGATCACATGGCTCAACTGGGATCATCAGAGGCTTTTCAAAGCATTTTTTTCTTCAACCTCTTGGCTGAAGAAGTGGTAAAAAAATGCTTTGAAAAGTCTCTGGCAACTCCCAGCTGAGTTGCCTGATTGGCAGAGGTTTTTCAAAGCATTAGAAAAAATGTTTTGAAAAGTTAAAAAAAAAAAATGGCCACGCCCACCCAGTCACATTACCCCCCCCCTACCAAGCCACGCCCACAGAACCGGTAATAACGGATTTTACATTTCATCCCTGAACTGTAGTAATTCACTTAGTAACTGTTTCAAGAAAGGTTATATAATGGGGAAAAACTCACTTTTAACCCTTTCATTTAGCAACAGAAATTGTGGTTGTAAATCAAGGACTGCCTGCATTTATTATTCTTCAAAAATCCAGCTTAGGAGAATGTTGCTCTAAGACAGTGGTTGGATGTAGGCAGAATTAGACCTGTGCGCTGTGGAAAGTGGAGTACACTTTGGGCATGCATGAGGGATTTGTGCACAAGTCCACTGAGTGAACATGATCACAGACTTCTTCATTAGTTGATAAGACTGCCAGCTCCAAAGATGTACCTGGATAATATTATGGCAATGAGGAAGGTCACTTTCAAGGTAACAGATTTACATTCACTTGGTTGATAAATTTGAACGGATGATTTGTAACATTTTCAGAATCAGGTGAAAACCTTAGATGGGGACATTATAGGAGAAGGTCCTCCAGCAGCATGTATATCTTGATTTATGGGCATTGAGAAGCATAATCCCTCAGAGTGTTTTGGGTTATACATTATTGGCTTGACTGGAAAAAAGTATCTCAGGAACAGGGACCACCAGCCTAATTTCCTTCTTCCTTTTCAAGGAAAAAGCATAGGTGATATCTTAAATTTGTCTGTCAGTGTTCCATGGGAAGCTAAGATGATCTGCATAGAAATTACATTGTAATCTGTATCGCACAAGTCTTGGTACCTAATATGTATTTACCAGATATGTAAATATAACCTGTATATAATCTGATGTGACATTATGTTCCCTGGGGGAGACAGTCCACTCTAACTGCATGGCTCATGGTAAATCAATGGACAAATGCACTAACTCAGAATGCTAGAATCTTCTGGAACACAGGTGTCAAACTTGATCATGTCACATGACGTATCACAGCATATTGTGACATTTTTTGCCTTTGCAGAGCCAAGGTGGGCGTGGCCTGCATGTAATGCATCTGGTTTGATACCCCTGTCTGGAAGCATCAGCATGTTTTCTGCCTCTTCATCTTTGCCTTTTGTACTAGTCAAATTTAAAAAAGGAAATGAAAACATTGAGCTATTTAGTATTCTGAGGCCATGATATTCACCATCCAGATTGATTATTTTGTTCTCAAAATAATCAAAATTGTTCTCGTAGCCTAAGATGAACTTTAATTTCTCCAAGAAAAACTGATAGTACTGTCATGTCAATTTAGCCACTTAAAATTCAGGATGTTCTCCAATCCCTATTCTTTTTAGGCATTATGAAGAAAATTTAATGCACCTAAAAGATTGTCAGCCAATGGCACTATTTCTATGGCTTTCTCAGCTAGGAATTGATCACTGGGTTTCAAGATCTCATTTTGTGCTTTGGCCTTCATGGAAGATAGAAGGAACAAAAAAACTCAAAAATTTAAACTTGGATCCTAGATAGGTCACTTGTCTTACCTTATCTTTTTTATTTTTTTATTTATTTTTTGCTTTAATTTATATGCTGCCCTTCTCCGGAGACTCAGGGCGGCTTACAATGCGCTAAGCAATAGCCTTCATATTTTTGTATATTTATACAAAGTCAGCTTATTGCCCCCACAATCTGGGTCTTCATTTCACCTACCTTTGAAAGGATGGAAGGCTGAGTCAACCTTGAGCCTGGTGAGATTTGAACTTGCAGTAATTGCAAGCAGCAGATGTTAATAACAGTGCTTTAGTCCACTGTACTACAGGCTTGACCAGAGCCTTGGGTAGGGCCCAAAATATCTATCATTTGTGAAGGCACTGGAGGCTAGTATTGAGGTGGACGGTGTCTATGTTCCACGTAATGATCCAAAAATATATGGCTGCCTAGGCAGATCTGGCCAAAAACTTTAATTAATTTAGGCTAGAAGCAGTCATGAAGGCCTTATATTTGCCAGTTAGTTAATGCTCTGGAACAGTTGATTAAGACTGGGAATCATAATATCAGTCTTTAGACATTAGGGATGTACTGGCATTCTTTTGCCATGTTAAAGAGAATGTCATTAAGTTTGTTACTAGGAAATTTGAGTATATCATCCCCACCTTTAAAGATTGCACTTGGAAACTAGGGAGATTACTAAAATTTCAATCAATGGTTTGTACCTTGGATACAGTTTACATTGACTGCAACAGACAGATCCTCAGAATAGAACGTCTGAGCATCTTTCACTAAGAAGCTGATAATTGCAATTCAAGCTATTGGGAAGAGTTCAGACAGATCCAGCAGCAATTTAACAGGTCCAGTCCAATATCAGCATAATTCATGATCTCTTTTCAGTTTCATTACATTAATTATGCAGGCCTAACAACAGATTGTTTGAAACTAATGTAATGGTATGTCAGTACCTAACATATAGATTTCTCTTTAGCAGAATTGGCAAAGCTTAACTCAGACATTAAAAAATCCTACTGTTAGTCATCTAGGAGCATAATCTCTGGGTTGTTCCCCATTATAAAAGTTGTAATTTGAAATAATATTTATAATTTAAAAAAGAAGTTAAACAGAAATTACATTCAAAATTTGTCCACCGCTGTCCACAATGTACATTGTGACTTCCACATTTCTGGCCACACTTTTCCCTCCTTTTTCAAATTCTCCTCTTTCTATTGTGATATATAGATCATTTCTCATTTCACCTACAGGAGAAAAAAATAAAGCAAGTTAACCAAAACAAAAATATCACCTCAGCATATCTTTAAAAAGATAATAATAATAACAACAATAACAACAATAACAACAATAATAACAATAACAACAACAACAACAATAATACCTAATTGTAATAACAACTGACATGGTTGAAAAACAAGTAAAGAAGGTCAAGAACTGGAGCACAACTGACCTGGACGAACTGCATGGATACTGGCTAAAACACCTGACCAACCTCCATCATCGCATAGCCACTCAATTTGATCAAATGTTTCAAAATGCAGCAAGTGAAGAATGGTTAACAGCTGGTCAAAATATTTGATAATGAAAGATCCAGAAAAAGGGCACAGAGACAAGCAACTATCGCCCAATTTCTTGTCTGCCAACAACGTTCAAACTTTTTATAAGAATACTGGAAAATTCAGTATTCAATCATCTGATGGAAAACAGTTCGTATCCAGTAGAACAAAGAGGAAATTATAAAAAATCAAGAGGATCAGCTACTCATTGACAAAATGGTACTAAAAAATGCAAAACAAAGAAAAACGAATTTAAATATGGCATGGATTGAATACAAGAAGGCACTTGACTCATTACCCCACAGCTGAATTAACACCTGTCTGGAAAACTTTGGAATCAGCATAAATATTTGTACATTTTTGAAAGCAAATATGCAAAAATGGAAAACAGTTCTAATAGCAAATGGGGAGACCATTGGTGAAGTCTGTCAACTTGCAAAGCTTTCCAGACCAGCTTTCAAGTTGCCATAAGCAGGAGGGGGAGAACTGATGAAGCTGCTCAGCTGCCCCAATGGAAAATACATTCCACACATGCTTTGTCAAAGATTGTATCCTAGGTTACTGGGGTCAGCAGGAGGGGTGGGGGTTTTCAGCCTGCCAACGTGGTCCATTGGAGAACGTGATTTATGACATGCCCAGGGAGGAAGGCAGAAACAGGGTCATAGGGGCCTGCAAATCACGTGAGGGGATTAGTGCTGACTCCATTTGAGTAATTGCCGGAATGGTGCTCCTAATAAATGACTGGATTTCTTTTGAAACTTGGCTTAAGGGTCATGATTTAATTAGGGCATCTTTCAGAAACTTCACAGAGAGTCAACTCTACTAAATCAAGCGAGATTGCCGGGCTACCTGAATCCCGGACTCCCAAATCACTCCCCGATATCTGGGAGGCTTGGAGAGAAAATCAGGCAACCATGGCAGAGGGCAGACTGTCCAAAGAAAGCCTGCTACAAGCAACTGGAAAATAGGCAATTCCAGGCTCCAGCAGCCCGACTGCAACTGGTGTGCAGCCTCCCCCAGACATCAAAGCTGAGATGCCCGTTGTAGCAGCTGAAGCAAGAAGGGATGAGTACTGGTGGAGATTAACACCTAAAGCAGCTGAGGTTGAGTTCCCTCATCCCAATGTCCAGAAAAAGCGGAAGCCCCTGAGTGAACTGGGAAGAGTGGATTGGATGTGGGACTGGGAACAAGCCAGGCTCTCAAAGGTCCTGAGGAGCCCCTGGGGAGCTCCATAGAGCAACTGAGGAAGGAATTTGACCATATCACCATTCAGGAGAAGGGACCATCATGCTGGCCAAAGGAGAGGGGAGGGACAGCTGATCCTTTTGAAGTGAGGAGCCGCAGACTGGAATGCAGCCCCCCTTCTCCGCCTGTCAGAAGGAGAAAAAGCCCAGGACTGCATCCAGTGCCCCTCACGCAGCAAGCAGGCCAGCCTGGGCAGACAACCCCTGCCTTCTCTCCAAACTAGAGCTGAGGAAGAGAGCCGGCTGCATCGAGCGCAGGCTTACAGGGGCCCACAGGAGGAGGGAGGAGCAGCGCTGAATGAACCACCCCAATTCAAGGGAAAGTTTGATGGCAACTCAGACCAGCTAGCTCTATTCCTTGACTCGGCCGAGATCCATCTAGAATGCTATGGGCATCTCTACCCATCCCTCAGAACCATAGTGAATGCCATCGCAGAAGGGCTAGAGGGAGAAGCAAGGGAATGGCTAGCAGCCCTCCAGAAGAGGAGAGCCCCCTAACTGCAAGACGCAGATGACTTCTTACAACTGCTAGAGGTCAGATTTGAGGAGGTAGAGGAGAACCCATATGCAGAAGATGAGCTCAGAAACCTAATGCAAAGAGGGCAACCCATCAGGGAACACATCCATGAATTCAGGAGAGTCATTGGGAAGCTACCTCCTTTACCAGAGCGGCTGTTGGTGCACTTCTTCAGAACAAGCCTGGACAAGAAAAGCGCCCAGGTAACCGCTTACCAGGACATCCCGAACTGACTCTCTGAGTGGTTCCGAGTGGCCATAAAAGTTGACAGTGGGCTGTGCACTAACAACATGAGAAAGCAACCAAACACCAAAGAGAGAGGTCAACCAGACCAGAGACCACCCAGACAACAGGGAACCACAGCACCACAGCCTGCCCCAAGACCAGCTCTCCCACGAAGCCTGCTGAAATGCTACAGATGCAGTGGGATTGGCCATATAGCAGCAGCATGTGCAACCCCAGCCCTGAAACCAAGGCCAGAGCCACCACCCAGGGCACAACCGGAACGAAGCCCCAAGCGTGCCATCAACACATCCCAGAAGGCCCTCCTGGCTGCAGAGGTCCCTCCCCACCCAGCCTAAGGAGGGGGGGAAACCCCAGGCAACGACGACCAATAGCCGGAACCCTATGACAGTTAGGAAGATGGCGAAAACGATCCAATGGTGAGTGAACCAGTTCACCCTTTCGTTTTCCCAATATGCCTAACGCCCCCAAAAATGGGAACCCAGGGGACTTTTCAGGCCCTAATAGACTCAGGCTGCACTAGATGCTTGATCAACCTAACCACAGTCCTGAAACTCGGAATCAGAGCAAAAAGACTGGCCCACCCGATCCAGTTTGAACAAGTTGATGGATCCCTAATGGGAGGAGCCTATGCCACCCACCTGACCGAACCAGTGAGGCTAGAGCTATCAGATCACTGGAAAGTAATTTGATTCATAATAGCCCCCAAAATGACAGATCCAGTCATACTGGGACTCTCCTGGCTAGACAAGTGGGGACCAACAATCTGGTGGAAAGGGGGTACCCACAGACTGAGGATAGCAAGCAGAAACACCGCCCATGCAGGGAACCCTTCAAGATTTTAGTTGTTGGAATTTTTACATTTGGATGATTTTAGTTTTATTTATTGTTATATGTTTTTTATTCTGTTAGCCTCCCCGAGTCCTACGGGAGAAGGGCGGCATATTAATCTAAGAAATAAAATAAACAAACAAACAAACAAACAAACAAACAAACAAACAAATAAATAAATAAATCCACCAGAACAACTGGCAGCCACATCGGACAAAACCTCAGAGATTGAACAGATCCAGAGGCAATATCAGAACCTCACAGAAGTATTCAGTGAGGCCAAGGGTGATGTCCTGCCTCCCCACCTTGAAGCAGACTGCGCCATTGAAATCACCCCGGGGGCAAAACTACCCAAGCCCAAACTGTATGCCATGACACCCCGGGAAATGCAAGAAATGTGCAATTACATAGACAAAAACCTAGAGAGAGGGTTCATTGAGCCAGCCAAGCCATGGGTCGCAGCGCCAGTCCTCTTCAAAGAAAAAGAAGATGGAACTATGAGATTGTGTGTGGACTTTCAAGGAATAAATGCCGTGTGCGTACACAACCTATACCCACTCCCCCTCATGAAGGACATGCTATCTCACCTGGCCAAGGGAAAAGTCTTCACCAAACTAGACCTCAGAGAAGCATACTATGGAGTATGCATCAGGGAGGGAGATGAGTGGAAAACAGCATTCAACTGCTTGAATGGCGCTTCCAATTCAAAGTGATGCCTCTCGGATTGCAGGGAGCCCCAGCGGTGTTCATGCAATTAATAAACAAGGTGCTGCATGAGCACCTCTACAAGGGGGTTCTCATCTACCTAGATGATATTCTCATTTACACGGAGCCCATGGATGACCACATATCCCTTGTCCACCAAGTACTAGAAAAACATCTAGCAGCCAAACTGTATGTGAAGCTATCAAAATGCAAATTCCATCATGCACGGCTAGACTACCTGGATTATTGAGTGTCAAGTGTGGGAATAGAGATGGATCCAGCCAAAGTGCAAGCTGTCCTAGGCTGGCAACCCCCTCGTACCTGCAGACAACTACAAAGCTTCCTAGGGTTCGTGAACTTTTACAGGCAATTCATCCCCTCCTTCACAAAGATTGCTAAACCCATGATGGACCTCCTGAAAAAAGAGGGAGCCCAGGAACAAAATCCCACCCGGGACAACCTCTACAGTGGGACCTAACCTGCCAAGAGGCATTTGAAAACTAAAAAAAATGTTTGCAAAGGAACCAGTGCTGAAGCATCCTGACCCTGAACAACCCTTCGTTATTCAAGCAGATGCCAGCAACATAGCAGTGGGAGCAGTGCTACTCCAAAGAAACAGCCAAGGAAACCTACAGCCCTGCACCTACACCTCCCTCAAGCTCACAGACACAGAGAGATGATGGGCCGCATGGGAAAAGGAGGCTTTCGCAGTGAGATGGGCACTGCTAACCTGGTGACACCTGCTGGAAGGAGGCCAGAAACCATTAAAAGTCTGGACTGACCACAAAAATCTGGAGACCCTCAGTACCCCAAGAAAGCTATCACCCAAACAAATCCATTGGCCTCAATACTTCAACCATTTCGACTTCGTGCTAAAGCACATCCCAGAGGGGAGGAACTTTCTAGCTGATGACCTCTCCCTTATACCCTAGTACAAATGCGAGCAGAGCAGGTAGTGGACACAATCATTCCCCATACTCAAGTAGCTGCCAAGTGACCACCAGACAACAACACTGAGACCCACAAGATAAATCAGTGAGCAACCTAACTGCAAAATTCAAAATTGAACTGCTAGCAGACCCCTGGTTCCGAGATAATCAACACACTTTGACAAAAAGAGATGACCTCACATGGACAGGGATGAAACT